TAACTCCTTAAATTTTTTTTTGTTGCTATATGAGAAATGTACACCAGAATTGAAAGCAAAAGGGAAAAAAAAATGAAATTTTCTTAGATGAAATCTGCGAAAAAAAAGAAAAAGAAAAAAAGAGCATACATTACTATCTTTATATTTTACTAGTTCCTAATATATATATATATATATATATATATATATTAAGTAATTATTAATTTATAATATTAACGGGATATTTATAAAGGAATTTTCTGGAAATTTATTAATTTATTATGAATTTATTAATTATTAATTTATAGATGTTCTATTATAGTTTGAAATGCAATAGTTCTAACACTTCTCCAGATTTTTTATTTTTTTTTTTGAGTACATTACATTCTCGTTATTCAAAAAGAAAAACATATTTATTATATTATTTAATTAATGAAAAACACTCATTATTACTGAGAGACTAACATAGATTCTTAAAACTCAGAATGCTAGTATCGCCTAGTATAGATTCTTAAAACTCCAAAGGACAAAAATATGAAATCGCCACAAACTAACACACAATTATTACATCCAAAGTATGTTTAATTTTGAAGAAGAGAAACTGGTATTAAGATGTAGACTATTTATGCGGTACATAATCAATAAATTAAGAGCGTAAGGATGAGTCACCAATATTTGATCAGTTTGTGTGAGAACTCATACATGAAAGTAAAAATGGGTTTTGGCTGTGTTCTGGAAACTACAGTGAGCAGATGAATGCTTGAAAAGAATTGGGTCGTGTTGTTGAGCTCCCTAATTTTTTCATTTGAACGCCCTAAAAAGACGTACATGCCCCTACAAAATGGAGTTACATTGGTTTTTTTTGTAAAAAAAAAGTAAGGCGAGGGAGGAAGAAGCCACCCCTTAAGAAATAATCTCGCCTCCCTCTAAAGGGAGGCGAGAAAACCTTCGCCGCATGGCGAAGGTGTGGCGCCCTTCTATGCTGGAAAGGGTGGGTGGCGCCATTTTGTGCGCCACCCACCTTAATTACTTTTTTAAAAAAATTTTAAATTTTTTTAATTTTTAATTTGTTTATTTATTTATTTTTAATTTAATTATTTTTAATGTATTTAATTAATTTCTTTTATTTATCTTAATTATTAGTTTAATGAATTTATTTAATTCATGTATTTATTTAATTTATTTAATTCATGGTTAAACAAGTAATTTTAACTTAAATATTTAGAAAATGTTCCTTAATTACTTAGTAAATTTTTATAAAAATTTATCATTTAGTTATGTAAAATTTTTTAAACGTAAAAAAAAAAATTAACATTTAATAAAAACTAAAACTTATGAATTTACTACCAAACAAATTAATTATTTATCATCGGTGCATCTAGCCGTCCTGGAAATATTTTTTTGAAAAAAGATATAAGATATAAAATACGTTGAAACGAAAAATTAAAAAGCATGGAAAAAATATAAAAAATACTTTTATTTATTTATTTAATTTTTTAAAATTTTTTCTTCTTTTTTAAAAGAGGATTAATAGTGATTCCCCATTTACCCCCTATGTGACTCAAACCCGTGACCTATTGGTCAAAGGTGAGATGTCTTACCTCTAGATCGCACCTCATTGTCATTTAATTTATACTACTACAAAGTCAAATATTTAAGTTAAAATTATTTGTTCAACCGCCAAATAGAGAAATAAAAAATAAACTTAAATAAATAAATGAATTAAATAAATTAAATAATTAATTAAATAAATAAATTAAAAATAGAAAAATTAAAAAAAAGTAATTTGCAAAACGCTCGCCAAACCGGGGAGTGGCGCCAGATTTGTGCGCCACCCCCATTTTGGACAGCAAAATTTTTCTCGCCTCCCTTAATTGGGAGGCGAGAAAATTGGCGCCACCCGTTAAAGGGTGGCGCCTTTCTCCTGCGCCAGCCATGAAAGGTTGGCGCAAATGTCCTTCGACACAGTCTTTTTTTTAAAAAAAAAAAAAAATAATAATAAAGATAAAATGATCAAAATATAATTTTTTAGGGTCCTCAAAAGAAAAAATTAGGGTGCTCAACAGCTTTCCAGTTAATACACTACTTGCAGGAGTACACATCATACCTCAAACTTAAACAATTAAAGTAAAAGTTTTCCAGTCAACATGTGCAGTAACTCTTTCTTTTTCGTTTGTACTTTCTTTTTTATTTCTTTTTTCTTTTTTACTCTTTTTTTTTTAATCCTTTCTAAAATATCTGGACAAGCTTTTGCTGATTCACTTCTGAAATCAACATTCCTCTTGAGATTCTTCCTTTCACGTGATTTTTTTAGGATTTTTTATTTATTTTTTTTTTTTTGGTTGTTTCCAACTTTTCATCTTTAAAGCTTTTTGTTTGTTAGCTTAGCTACCTCCAAAAATTAATTAAAATTTTAGAAAATATGGTTGATAACATTTTGTATAATTAATTTAATCAGCGTCAAGCACGTATGATATGGCAAGTGACAGATTTTATTTTATTTTTCAAGTCAAGCACGTATCTTTGACCATAAATTTTCTTCCTAAATTGAAGACAGAAGAATCCATTTTCTAAATAATGATGTCCAACTCCTATTCGTCTAGTATTTCTTTCATTTGCCCCAAAGTTTTCTTCCTGAATTGCAAACAAAAAGATAAGACTTCTATTCACAAGGTGAGATCAAATTCAGAGTAGGAAATTAAAGAGCATTCTTGCATTTACTAAAGAAGAACGATGTCCAATATTGTATAGGTTTTATCTCTGGTTTTGGTATAGTGTAAATGGCTATTATTCTTTAGATATTTTCACATTATGTTATTATTATGATTATTATGAAGAACCAGTGAAAAACCATGCCCGATAATTTTGTGGTATTGTTATTTGTGTGTGTGGTGGTAGGGTGACCCTCAATATATTACCTCCACCTTATCTTTTTTTCCCGCCTCGCATTAGGCAGGAATGCATGAATTTATTAAAATGATGACTAAAAATTTAATTTATGTGTATCGTACCTATATTGCCCTTAATCAATGTATTGGAATTATACAAAAGATCAAAAACTGAATTATTTTTTGTAGTTCACAAAATTACCCACCTGCAGTTTATTTGGACATTTTTGTCCCTGAAACATAATTTTCAAAAATTGAAACTTTTAGCTCCCAACAAACTCATTTCCAGTTACTCATATGTAGATCTGAAATTTTTTGGGGTTGGAAGTTTTAAAGTTAGAAAATTACTTTTAACGTAAAAAATATCCAAATGAACTACATGTGAGTAATTTTATGAACCGCAAAAAGTAATGCACGGGATCTCAAAACTTAGTCCAACTTCAAAATAATCAATTCGGGTTTATCTATATATTCTCTAATATACCCCTACTACTTCCACTGAAATCAGTAATATTAAATTAATTTCAGGTATTACTCTCGCCCTTCAACTCGTATCTAACTAATTTAATAGGAAAGTATTAGGAATTTTATTTTTTTTATATAAAAAAAAATTACCTGAGCGAAACCACGCCCACTGTAATAGCTTGTAAATCATATAAGGATGTAAACCACCTTAGACAAGCCCAATGAGACAAACTTCGGGTTAATTCATGAAAGGTTTGTCATAACAAACCCTCTAGAAGTGCAAACCACAGTGGGACGTAAACTACCCTAGATAAGTCCGGAGAGACAAGTTTCGATGCAAATTGGGAGTTCATGTATGAGTTTATCATAACAACCCCTCTAAAGTGCTAATGGGCAAGGGTACACTAACCTCTCACTTTTTTCCCCCCCTTTTTAAAGAGATCAACACTAATTCCTGACGTAACTCGAACCTGTGACCTAATGGAAACAGAGGAAGTGTTTTACCAACTAAACTGCACCTCATTGTTTTTTTGAGGTAGAAATTGAATTCATAACATTCTCTTGAGACAAGGTAATTTTACTACAGAACTAACATTTTATTCGCATAAATTAAATTTTTAATCATTATTTTTAAGTTCCCATGCACACGTCAATGCAACAGGTAAAAAATTGGAGATCATATTACTATCCTTATTTCAAAAGGAAAGAGGAAGTATATTATAGGACATGTCTCTCATTTCGTGTTTTTAATCTTTTTTTATCATTATTGTACGTGTTCGATAAGTTTCGAGATGTTGAATTATTTTTAGGGTTTAACATAAAAATTGATTATTGAAAAATGATAGTTACACCGCTTTTTCATTAACGCATGATAAAGGTTGATGAGATGTACGGAAAAATTTAATACACAAGATTCTGTCGGAAACCCGATATGTAAAGTGAATTTCGACGTTAGTTTTATGTCACTTTTGTGGTAAGTTAATAACTCTTTAAATCAATTTACAGGGTTTTACATAAATTATGATCGGTGAACAACGTCCGTACATTAGTAAATGCGCCTATGTACTGTCGAGAACCCGATATGTAAAGTGAATTTTGACGTTAGTTTTATTTCACTTTTGTAGTAAGTTAATAACTCTTTAGATCAATTTATAGGGTTTTACATAAAGTATGATCGTTAAACAACGAACGTACATTAGTAAATACGCCTGTGTACGGCTAAATATAATGAATCGTACGAAAGAAAGTAGTACAAATAACGTACGTATGTTTGTCGGGATTCCTGACACCTGAATGATTCCTCACGTTTCTTTTATTTCACAATCGTGCAGAGGTAAGTTGATAACACATTTTATCATGTAGATACGTGTACAATAATTCATTGTTCGATATTTATAAATTATTTTTAGGGTTTATGTAAAAACTACTTTTAGGAGTACAAAATTATAGTTTTTTTTAAGGGTTTTTCAAAAAAATTCTTTTCAACTTTGGAAGAAGTGTTGCCATTATGCACAAAAATAGAAAAATTCAATGTTAATATAATCCATATCTCCACTCCAAGAGAAGATGCAAAGAAGGGGTAACATAGTAAACTGCAAAATGTAAAAAAAGAAAAGAAAACCTCAAGCTCCTGTCTTTCTTCCAGCTCGATGCCACCTACTTACCCTTTCGGGCTTAATCAACATCAATGAAGAAGACAAAGAGAAAAGCATCGGACGGTTACGAAATTGCTTGTTTCCATTCACCCTCGAGAATCGAGTCCTTCTCCGCCCACACCCCCCACTTTTTCCATGAGCCTCCAATTTGTCAAGAAGTTTTTAACTTTTTAATCCCAAAAAACTTTTTCATATTCCCTTTTCTTGTATTTTTGGACTCATTACTGAAAATAAAAAAAACCAGTCTTCCTTTGTATATGTTTGTGTTGTGGTGTTGTGTTGTATACTCTGCCACTACTGCCTCCTCTGCCTCTGCCTGCTCTGCTTCCCAGCATTAAAATCACCTTCAGTTCGAGAAGACCTCTGTTTCTTTTCTTATTACCACCGTTTCTTCTCTATCTTCCTTTTCTCTCTCTCCCTCTCAGAGTTTTGCAGAAGAATTGTGTGAGTTTTCCTGGGTTCTTTCTCTTCTTTGTCATCGTTGGGAATGTGGGTTGTTGTGTTTTCTGTGTTTTTGTTAGTGGGCAAATGAATTTAGTTTTCTGAGGTGTTGATTAATCAATGTGGCTTCTTTTCTGGTTTGATCATTTGATGTTTTCTCTGAAGTTATCATCTTTTTGTCCTTTTGGGGTGTTTTTGTTTGTTTGATGATCATCGTGTGCGTTTATGAAGGGTAAAGCGATGGACTTTTGTTGTCTATGTGTTTGCGTATATGCAGTTTTGTGATATGTGATCATGATGATGGTTTGTTTGAATGTGTTGGTTTTTTGCATGTGAAGATGAACTTGTGGCTTCTCCGGTCAAGTGTTTGATACCTTGGATCATCGTGGGAACTAATTAAGATTTTTTTTTGTGGTGTTTTTGATTATGCGTTGACATAAAGCGGTGGTTGTTAAAATCTAAAGCTAATGTTATTCACTTATTATAAACATCTGAACAGAGGCATCGGGCCTTGTACTTCTCATTTGCTAAATCTAACAGCAACCACTGCTGACTTTATTTGCTTTGGAACAATGTACTTCAAAAATTGAATGTAAAATGCTTTTTATCATTTTTAAAATTGTGAAAATTCTGAAACTTCTGCAAGTTTCCCGTGAACTGCTTTTTTCCTATTCCACTATGAGCTTTGGATGATTGATTCACGCATAGGTGTTACATTTGCAGGAGGTGATTATAACGAGCAGAATTATGTTGCAAGAGGGGCCAGTATCTATGGTTGAAATCGTCTAGTTAATTGGCTGGCTATGATTGCAGGTATTAGCTGCTTATAAACTTTGAAATACTGGTCCCGGGTACCAGTATAACAAACAAACTTTGGAGTTGTTGTTAATCAAATAGGCAGTTGAGAAGGTAGAATGTCTTTACTCTATTGTCTCTTATTGAGTGGACAAGTTGGAGTCTATCTGAAAGTTCTATGGTATAGTCTTTTGTAGCTAAGTTTTTGTTGGTCTACATTGGGGGTTTTTACAAGTACTTGTGCTAGAATTGAAGCCTAAAATTTCAGTCCGCTTCTGAAAGCAAAAGAAAGTTTGAACTCATCATACTTGTTTTTCTAGACATTGGTAGTTGTATGTCGTACAATACAACAGCTCACTTGGACTTAGTTATTATTACATTCCATATGCCTTATGATCATAGTTTTGTTCATAAATTTAAGGGTTTATCAGCTTCCTGGCAATGTTTTTTTATCTTCAGGCTGTATTGTGCCCATGTTTAGATAACATACACCTCATGATCAGTGTTCGCTAGATTCTTTTTCATAATATGTAGGGTTTTTGTAATTTCAGTCGTGCTAGAGAAGATGGATACTTTGTTTAGTGGACAACCACAATTAACCCCAGAAAGTTGTCAATATTTTGCTGCACGGTTTACATTAGTTTGTTTTTGTTGCTTATCAAGCTGAAGCCATAAATAAGAGATTGGTATATGCTTATTAAGTTAACCTCTTTTCTTCCTCAGAAAGGAAAATGGACCAGGCTCCAACGGACAGAGAGCTTATTGAGAGAGAAAAACCAACTGCTATCCTAAGGAGCATTACTTTCAGTATTTTATCTAAGGCTGATGCCGTAAGTAACCATGGCTGTTGAAGTTCCGGCCATCTCCTCTCCTATTCAGCTTCATTGTTTCTGAATTTTCCAATGCACATATGTCTGCATAAGCGTCTCCTGAAACCAAGCAATTCAAAATAATTTATTTTCCTGAAAAGAAGGAGATGATTGCTGTGAAAGTATGTCACTTGTTTGTTTGTTCGTTTGTTTTTTTCCTTTTCTTTTCCCCTTGTTGCCACTATTTGCTTAGGTATGCATGTCTTGAATGAAAAAATGATGCATCCTATCTTGCCTTTGAGAATTGCTGGTTCCTTATTTGGGCTCTTGGGCCGTGTATCGCTTTTTGGATTACAGTTCTTGCATGTAATGTGTGAAGTGATTGGTAGAAACTGGAAAGATATTTGTGCATATTGTACTATATCTATTTCCAGAGACTTTTCTACAGAATCAGAGAATATGTTCCTTAGTATCTGTTGATGATGTCTTATACTACTGCTATATAGGAGGCGAGAAAAGCCATAATAGTTAGAGCAGTCAATGAAGTGACAGATCCCGCATTGGGACTTCCTAATCAGATTAATCAGTGCTCCACATGTGGTTCTAAAGATAGGAGAGAATGCGAAGGTATATGAGCTACACTAGTCAAGTAAAATGCTAACTGGTGGCATCCCACTTTCTTCTGATTATGCTGCGTTTCTTCATTTTTACAGGTCATTTTGGACTTATTAATTTTCCTGTAACGATTCTCAACCCATATTTCTTGCCAGAGATTGCACAGATTCTAAATAAAATCTGTCCAGCCTGCAAATCAGTTAAAGCCAAGGTCAGTTATTTGGGTTTTATGTTGAAACTTAAGTAGTAGAGATGATACAGATATCTGGTTTACATTTTTTTTTGTTGATGTTTATCTTAGAACTGTTTTCCCCTCCCAGTTTTATTTTCCTAAATTTTATCGTTGTTGGTTAAGTATTTCTGGGAGCTCTAAATGGATGGTCTTCCATGGATAAAGCCATGTCATTGTCTCATTAAATAGGCATTACAGTTTACAGTACTATGTCCGAAAGTTTGAATGTTAGATGTTCTTTGGACCTTCTTCTTTTGAGTTACTAATCAATTGTGAGAAAATAGTTTGCTTGATTTCATTTCACATAATTCATCTGAACTTGTACTATAGGTATAATATTATTTAATTGCAAATGTCATGAACTATCTTGCCTGTTTGTTTTAGAGGCGGAACAACTCTAATTTTATTTACTCAATTTATTCTAGATTGAATTTTTCATTCTCCATTGATTCCTTATTTATCTTGAACTGGTCTTTATTGGTCTAGTAGGAAGATTTTCATGTATGTTATGGTCATTAAACATTTCACTAGAGTAGTTCAATTGCTTGAATATCTCATGTTCTTGTGAATAATCCTTGCATTTTGGTGTTGTTTCAGAGATCTGGATCCGCTTCTTTGCCTGAACGCCCCAATGATTGTAAATACTGCTATGTAAGATCATCCCATACCTTGTGTTTGTTTGGTTAGTCATAAATTTTTCTAAAATTGATTTGTTAACTCTCCTCGTTTGATTAGCCTGGGAAGTTAAAGGATGTTTATCCACCAATGAAGTTCAAAGTATCTTCCAAGGATATATTTGGAAAAACAGCAATAACTGCGGAAGTGAATGAAAGGTCATCTTCAAATATAGCTGCCGATTATTGGGATTTCATTCCTTCTGATGATCAGCAGGATGAAAGCTCAAGCTCGACTAGACGTGTTTTATCACATGCCCAGGTAGCTTGACGTAATGCCATTGAATGTTAGTTACTTGGTTATCAATGTTTTATTTTTCATTTCTTCGATATTTGTTATTTTCTCCTTCTACTTCTGAAACAATCGCCGGCCAATAAAGTGTCTTCTGATGATTTTTTTTTTTTTTTGGGGGAGGGTGAAATAATAACCATTAATTACTTGTTGATCTTTAGCGGAGAGCGTTTACATTAATTGAGACATCACTCAGAGTTTCTTTCAATCCCCTCATGCAGAACATCCTTGCTTCAGACATTCTGTTTTCAGGGGTTTTTAGTTGAATAATCATTCTACTAATTATTTTAAAAAAGCAATCTGTTGTGTAATTTATAAGCCATGGTATCTGGAATGTTGTTTCCAATCTGACCACCTACAGTCACATTGTTCCCTAACATCCTCCTTTCTCTCTGTGCAACTATTTTGGTAAATTTTGTTTTTATTGCTTATATATACGATGGTTCCTGTGTTGTAGGTATATCAAATTTTGAAAGATGTCGATCTAAGATTTCTCGAATCTGTTTTGAAGAGGAAAAACTCTATTTTCCTGGACTCTATCCTATTAACTCCCAATTGTCAACGAGTTACAGAATTTGGGCAGCATATCATATTTGTAAGTGAAATAAATTGCCACTGCCGGTATAATTGGTAAAATTAAGTATCTCATTATTTTTGTTTCTAAAAATGATTGTAAGCATTTTCTATGGTAAAAAATTCAGGATTCAACGACCAAGTACTACAAAAAGTTGATTGATTTTAGGGGAAGCCCAAATGAATTGAGTACTCGTGTTCAGGAGCGCATTAAAGCTTCAAAGGTAAGTGACTCTTTGTGTTCTTTTCTATCTTGGAATGAAAGACCGTCAAAAGGCTGGAGGAAGACTATGTTTAAGCCAATTTCTTTAAAGACTCTTCATGATCTTGGACATATTTGCTGCAGGTTTATACGGATAAATCAGCACCTGTTGATTATGGTATCAATGCATCTGGTTCCAATGACTCATCTGCTCCTACTTCTGGTTTGAAGTTTATCAGGGAACTTCTCATGGGTAAGCGAACAGATCATGCTTTCCGTATGGTGGTTGTAGGGGATCCTTACATAAAGCTGGGAGAAATTGGCATGCCCAGTCATATAGCACAAAAAGTTCAGGTTGCTGAACAGATAAACAAGTGGAATTTGGATAAGCTGGAAAGTTATGTGCCGTACTGGCTTTTCCATGGAGTGGATATTCGTGTTAGGAGAGAGGGTAGGATTGTCAAACTTACTATCAGCGACAAGTTGTGTTGTGGAGATGTTCTCTATCGGCCCATGCTTGATGGAGACATAGTTATGATAAATAGGCCTCCGTCCATCCATCAGCATTCCATTTTGTCATTATCTGTTCGGACTCTCCCAAATAATTCAGTTTGCTCTATTAATCCTCTCATCTGTTCTCCTCTCCGTGGAGATTTTGATGGGGATTGTCTTCATGGTTTTGTACCTCAGTCAGTTGATGCGAGAGTTGAATTAAATGAGCTGGTTGCTATTGACAAACAGCTGTGTAATGGGCAAAGCGGTCGCAATTTGTTGTCTCTGAGCCATGATAGCTTAACTGCAGCTCATCTAATATTGGAGAATGGGGTTACTTTGACAAAGTTTCAAATGCAGCAATTGCAAATGTTTTGCCCTTATGAGCAGCAATTCCCTGCTATCATAAAAAAACTAGAGAAACCAACTAAAGAGCATACTTGCTTTTGGACTGGGCAACAATTATTTAGCTTGCTTATGCCTCCAGGTTTTAACTATGATTTTCCATCAAATGGTGTGTGTATAACCAAAGGGGAAATCATGACTTCTTCTGGTGCATCCACTTGGCTGCATGACGTTGATGGAAATCTGTTTCATGGTCTCATTCAATTTTGTGGAGAACAAGTTATTTCCATCCTTAATGCGATGCAGGAAGTTCTTTGTCAGTGGCTGTCAATGAGAGGGCTAAGTGTTTCCTTGTCCGATCTTTACCTTGCTTCTGATGCATTTTGTAGAGAAAATATGATTCAAGAAGTCTTTTGTGGTCTTCAAGAGGCAGAAATTTTATCTGATATTGAGCTCATGATGGTAGATGCCAATAAGAATTTCCTTGCTCAATGCTTAGAGGAAAATACGAGAGTTGAAGATTTTGGAGAAGATCACATTTCTGTTCAGCTTAACAAATCAGCAGCCCTGAGTCAGGCCTCAGTTTCTGCTTTTAAGCGCGTCTTTTCTGTCATTCAACATTTGGCCTTCCAGTATGCAAGCAAGCATAATTCCTTTATTGCTATGTTAAAGGCTGGTAGCAAAGGCAACTTGCAAAAGCTAGTTCAACATAGCATGTGTCTTGGGTTGCAGCACTCAGTAGCTCCATTATCCTTCAGAATGCCCCGAAGGCTTTCTTGCGCTGCATGGAATGATCACAAGATCTCACTTTGTAGATCGCATGGTCCCTTGGAAAATAATGAGTCATACATCCCATTTGCTGTGGTAGAAAATTCTTTCCTCACTGGCCTGAATCCTCTGGAATGTTTTGTGCATTCTTTAACTAACAGAGATGGTTCTTTTAGTGGTCACGCGGATGTTTCTGGGACTTTGACCAGGAAGCTTATGTTTTTCATGCGTGATGTATGCATTGCCTATGATGGAACTGTCCGAAATTCCTACGGTGATCAAATAGTTCAGTTCGCCTATACCCGAAAAATTTCAAGTCCTACTGGCAGCAATGGGTTCTCAGGTGAGCGTGCTAAAGCTAATGAAGTTATGGGCGGCCATCCTGTTGGTTCACTTGCCGCATGTGCAATTTCTGAAGCAGCATACAGTGCGTTGGATCAACCTGTTAGCGCCCTTGAATCCTCACCTCTCCTGAATCTCAAGGTTCTCTCTCTCTCTCTCTCTCTCTCTCTCTCTCTCTCTCTCTCTCTCTCTCTCTCTCTTTCTCTCGTGTTTCTCATACTTTGACCGTGTATGTCTTTCTAGAAGCGACGAGGACAAGCTTTGGCTGTTTGTTCGAATCCTTACAACTCTAAATATTTGTGATGGGATTCTATCTGAACTGGTTTCCCCTATTGCTCTTTAATTTGGTTGGTGAAGCATTTTCGGTTAAGTCAATTTGTCAGTCTGGTTTAAATCATTCATTCTAAGAATGAATTTCCTTATGAGAGGCAAAAGTTTGCATGCCTTAATCCTATATTTCTTTCTTCAAACCATGGGATATTTCTTTTGATGAAACCAAGTTCAAACTTTCTTCATATAAAGTATCTCACAAAAGCCTTATTCCTTTTTCATTCTTCATATGAAAAAAGGGCTTATCCCCTTGAATGGAATGTCGTTCACTGCCAACCTAGTATGTTTTTCAGTTGTGCGACATTCCAATCCTTCCCAATGAACTTACAATAACATTATTTACTTTCTACTATGTGCAAAGACCGTCCTGAGCTATGTCAGTTGAGGACATTTAATCAATACTATCTTCCCCCTGTTGTTAAGCACACTAGACAGATTGTTGTTCAGAAGCATCCTGATATGAGCGAACTCGTGTATCTGCTAACATGTAGTTTCACTGTTTGATTGGAGTTGTTGACGTGGTATGGGAAACTGTGTTTTGCAGAAAATACTGGACTCTGGAGTGAAAAGGAGCGGTGGTGATAAAACTGCAACCATATTTTTGTCTAAGAAACTTGCAAAACTGGCCCATGGTTTTGAATATGGAGCATTAGCAGTGAAGGATCATTTGCAGAGGCTAAAATTTGGAGAGATCGTTTCTCATGCAATGATAAGGTCAGTTCAATCTAGTGATTCCAGAAATGATGATTTAGTTTGTTTCTTTCGCACTCATCTTGTGCATGTTTCAATGTGGAATAGCTATTCCCAGGAGATATGTGGCCTCTCTCACATTAGTCCTTGGATTTGTCATTTTCATGTATCTAAGGTAAGGCGGATACAAACTACATGTTGTAATGGATGATGCTCCTCGGACCAATTTCATGTTTATTTTATCCTTAATTAATTTTTTGTCTTTCAGGATGTCTTCAAGAAGAAAAGATTAAGTTTGCATTCAATTATTGGCGCCCTTCATGCAACATGGAGAATCATGAAAGTGAAAGTAAAATCAAAATTAAAATCTAAACTTGATCTCCCGGACTTGCAAATAAGTACAAGGTAGGGTGCTTTCAGGGCAGAATACTGTCCTTGTTTGCTACTTTGTTATATAATGACAAACATTTTGAGAGGTCTACACATTATCATTGCATCGTTGGGAGGTCTATACGTTTGGGATTTTTTGAATCATCACAAGATTTTAAGTGAACTAATTATCATTTTCCCTCACCTATGGTTGTAACCAGCAAAATAGTACTCTACTTCTGAAATGGAGGTAGTCCCCTTTGCACGTGACACGATGCCTCTACTTTTCTAGACATTTTAAATACTGTTATGTTCCTTTCTGATTTCACACCATTTACTGTTGATATGAGGCATCTCATTCTCCATCTCATCTTTGCTTATGCAGTGCAAGGTGTCCTCGAACTTTTAAAGAGAATGAGATGGTTTCCGAGATTTGTATCAAGGTTTCTCTCCTTGATAAATACCAGAACTCGTCCTCACAGCTAGATGTCATTCGTGATATGGTGATCCATAGCCTCCTTGGAAGTGTTATAAAGGGTTAGTACTGTGAACTGAAAATTTGTTTTTACTGACATCCTTTCAGTAACTTAATATAGTGTAGGGACTGATTTTCCTTTTTATGGGCCAAATTCATAGTGGGGTATATTCTATGTTATTGTCTTTTGGGCGAGAGACTGTCATGAAGTTGATGCAAGTTTCTTAAAAAAATCAACTTCCCCTTGGAAATCATGATGGTCTGTTGCCACCATATATGTTTTTGAGATATTACCCACCTTATTTTATAGATACAACCCCCAAAACAAATGTTTATCCTCGAATTATCCCATAGTGGTAATGTTTTCAACAGAAAACCAATGAACTTTCTGGACCTTGACTGGTGCTATTTTTTTTTTTTTAAATGGTGATACAATTATTAATTTTATCTGCTGTTATATATGCAACTTGTTTAATGGACTCTCTTTTAGATAAATGCTCCTTGGATATTTAAAAGGATACAGCACTTTTATAGGTCTTGAGCAAGTTAATGCAGAATTTTCTTTTTGTTTCCTATGTGTATTCAAATTGAGAATATTTTTGGGTCTGTTAATGTACAACAATGTAGTCCCTATCCACTTTCGGCACCAGAACTATACACGATACATTGACAGTCTCCTGTTCTCTGATTTCTTGTCTTCACATTTTGATTGTAACCTTACTTTTTCACTGTAAAAAGAGGTAGAAGAAGCTCCGGAATTCGGTCCCTGAGCATTTTGTTCATGTTCATTTAACTTGTATGAAGAGGGTGTTCAATTGATGACAAAGACTGATGGATGGATAAATGTTGTAGGAACGAGTAGCATTTGAGATTATTGTAAAGGAACTCTTTTAGATATTGTCTGTCAATTTCTAAATTTTGGTTGGGGCTGCTTTCTGTTTTTTGACTGGAATGTGGAAAAACACCGAACACGGAATTAAATAACGGAGAAGTACGAAATACTTCTGGAGTATGATGGTGGATGGGAAATTAGTAATTGGGCAAGTGTTATTAACATAGTTTACCGATAATTCAGCAAATCCATAGCATTTCTTTCTAGTTCTATGATTGAGAAAGCACGACTTATACAGTACTTTACTATTCAATATCTCCAACACTTCAAGTCTTGCCTGGTTGATATTGTTGAAAATGTTCCCCCGTTTGTTCTGTCTTTTGGAAGTTTTATAACTTTTTGCATGGGTAGACACTAATTGCATCTGTCACCTTTTCTTTTTTCTTCGCATCTTGTTTGGGGTTCTTTTCAAAACTTGAATTGCTGCTGTTAGATTCTGTTGATTTTTTATTTTTTGTTTCCTGCATAGTCTTGGTTTTTATAATTACTGAATTGTTTATTCATGTCTTGTCTTGAAGGATTCCCTGAATTTAAGAAGGTTGATATCTTGTGGAAAGATTGCTCAAAGTCACAAAAGTTTTCGAAAGGATCTTGTAGTGGACTTTATTTGCGGGTTAACATGTCAGAAAACTGTGACAAAGGTAAATTTTGGAGTATCCTTGTGGATAGTTGTATCCAGATACGCAATCTGATCGATTGGGAGCACAGCCATCCAGATGAAATACGTGATGTAACTCCAGCTTATGGCATTGACACAGCGGTTAATCATTTTATAAGTGTGAGTTGTCGTTTTTCAGGTCCCAGCTAAATTTTGTTATAAAATGTCAGAATTCTGGGATTTAACTATGTCAGTTAGGGTTGAGATGGTTATTTAGGTGTATTTTACACTACCTGCTGAAGGAAATGGTGAGTGACACTTATTACTGTTTTGCAGAGTTTGCATACTGCAATCTGCGATATTGGGAAGACTGTTCTACCAGAACATTTAGTTCTTACTGCAGATACCCTATCAACAACTGGAGAATTTGTTGCTCTCAATGCCAAGGGACTGACTCAGCAAAGAAAAGTGACATCTGTTTCTTCACCTTTTGTGCAAGCATGCTTCTCCGTCAGTTCCTATATCAATATCTATTTCTGAGTCTGTTCTATGCACTTGTTCCTTATTAACTACTTCTGTACCTGCTTTAATATTAGTTTTGGCTTCTCTTGTTGCAGAGTCCGGCTGATTGTTTTGTTAAAGCTGCCAAGGCAGGAGCTGTGGATAATCTTGAAGGAACGGTAGATGCCTTGTCATGGGGAATGGTTCCTTCTGTAGGGACTGGTGCTCGATTCGAAATAGTATATCCGAAGAAGGTAGAAATCATAATTACTAAAAGTGGCATATCATCAACATTGTTTTGCGGTTGTTTTTTTTTTTTTTTTGGAGATCATCAAATTTTTTTGATGAAGTTTGGGGGCTTTAAATTTGCTTTTGAACCAATATTTAGTGGATGTTCAGAGATATGATATATGCTTCTCAATACATGGAATTATACGGAAATGCAAAATGATTGTTGTAGACCTATAATCAGATGTTATGTTCTAAAGGCATTTCGTTTTCATATCATTATTGGCGCACCTGGTAGTTTACCGATGATTGCATTAGAGTCAAGCTAGATAATCTAACTGCAATTTGTACAAATATGGCATGGCTGTGCTTCGAATTGGTGTAAAAACTGGATCCGGATATGGACTTTGCAAAATAAATGAATCAGTTCTAGTGCCTCCAACCTTTGCCATTTTCTCTCCATTGAACGGCCATTGTTTTTTTGTTAGATGAAATTGCTTTTAGGATTTGGCTGTCCCCATTCAAATTCTAACTGTTCTGTAATTCTACCTGTTCATAGCGAGTGAAGGAAATACACTTTCATTAACCCAAAAAAAAAAAAAAGAAATATGCCATGAATTCTTGGGATCAACTTCAAACTCAACTTGATATATTGGTTCTTCTTAGATTGCTGTAATTTCACTTATCATTTTTAGTTGATGAAGTTAAATATTCATTTACTAGTTTATTTTGTATCGATTTGTAGGTATATGAACTTGAAAAGCCTGTGGAAGTCTATGACTTTCTTCTAAGCAGCCATGCCAGTTCTAATCAAGAGGTTACAGAGAAGTTACCTAAAAAACAGTATGAATTGTCAGGAAAGTCCCTAGCCCAACACCTATTTGCGTATCGCTCGAAGTGGAATCATCTCGACATGAAGTTACTTCTGAAGGGTTTCCTCGCTCCAAAAGATATTCAAAACCTCTCTCAGACATTGAGAAATTTGCTATACAAGTATGGTGATCCTTCATTTCTGTGGTTTTAGAATGATAGGAGTGAATGGTAATGAATGGATGTTAATATGTTTAGTAGTTTTCGTATAATTACATCACTTGAGGTCTTCTTTTGTCGTTTCAGTTGGTTTGACTCACACTTCTGAGTGCTTTTTTAAGTTTCCGTTTACTGCTTGTATGACAACCTGCTTGGTTCTTGATGTTACTTGTGCTAGGAAACATCTTTCTTTCTTTCTTCCTTTCTTTCATTCTTTCTGTAATTGTTCTGTTCATGACTCAAGCATCTCAGTTATTTTCTTTTTTCTCTTACTTTTTTTTCAAAAATTATTTTGTCAAGAGTTTGTTTCACATATCTTCTGAGGTTTGTGGAGCTTTTTTACTAGGGGATGTATTGAAACTATTTTCACATGTAATGTGTAAGTTGCATCCGAATTTCATCTTGAAGTAATCCCTGCAGATTGCTATGACAGTTAGGAATGGTTACCATGTGATGATGTATATCTAGAATCATGCTGGTCAGAAAATAATTTCCCTGGAATTCTGTCACTAAGTAGTAGAGGGTACTTCATTTTTTTATATAAGATTTACATCTAGGACCGGAAATGTGTTATTTTGGGAAATTTAGAACTATGCTCTGGTGAACTGTGTACATCATTATAATCGATAAGAAGATATATTGTTAGTCTATTAATCTAGCATAGAGATGTACTTCCCTTTTGGTGTTATGGATGAGCTGCGTCAAGAATATCAGGGAGTAAAAAATTTGTTCAACTGATGTCAATGGTTATAATTGAAAATGCTTTGATTGTTAATGATGGTTAATAGTCATTCACCAGGAGCCTCTATTCAATATTTTTTAGCTGCTTTTGTACACGAAGCTTTCCCTCTGCTGTTAGACCAATGGGAACATAGAGACTTACTAATGCTTGCAAAGCTGATTGGAAGAATTTTGTCGAAATAGAACTGAATACTCTTTGCACAATCATGTCCCTTTTAGTTTCACTGGCTAGCCTGTTGGTTTGGATGCAACTCTAGTTCTGTTTCACTAACTTCCTGTTTGTTTTCTTACACTTTTTCCCCTTTTCTGGTTGTAAGGTACGAGATCGACTGCTACCTCAATGATGTTGATAAGGCTGTTGTGATGTCTGCTTTGTATTTTCATCCTCGAGGCACTGAGAAGATTGGAACTGGAGCTCTTAATATTAAGGTAAAAACATGTAGATATACTTTTATTTCAGGATAATGGGGAGATAGCTGAATAGAATTTGTTATGTTTAAAGTGTGACAGTGGCCTTGTAGATACCAAATCCCTTGTTTCAGGATGAAATAATACTATCACTGATGCTTTTTTAGTGTACTACTTATTTCATCATTTTGTCATCTTATTTTAATCATATTTTCTGTAATAGCAAATGCATGAAAGAATCAAACTCCATTTTCTGATCCATTGGACAGAATTTCAGCGCCTTCCAGCAAGATGGTTCCTGTTAAAGGGTGCTAATTTTCTCTCTTGGGCTTGCCGGGATGGTTTTGTAATTGACGTTTAGATGCAGCGATATTGAATCGACTCCATGGGTTTTGCAGGTTGGATATCATTCGGAATATAAGGATTCTCGCTGCTTTCAGTTGGTAAGAACTGATGGGACAACCGAGGACTTCTCTTATCACAAATGTGTTCATCACGCTTTTGAGTTGATTGCACCTCAAAAGGCGAAAACGTACGAGTCAAAATGGTTGCTCCACAGAGAAACAGAAAGGGGAATGGCCGATGGGCCTTCCTCGCAAGCATAAAGCTCTTGGTACTGACCTCTATCCTAAAGCCCTCAGATGAACACAAAGAGACTTTGATTTCCTCTGGGAAATTTTTGGCCCTTTAGGTTTTTATTTTCTGAGGGTTTCCCAGAATTAAAGATAAGAGGAGAGGAGGTCAAAGAAAAAGAGAGGTTAGTGCTCTTTTTCGACCTTGATCCATTCATATTGAAAAGTGAATAAACATCCTGTAAGCTTAGATAGCATTATAATTACCAATATAGGATAGCCCAATTCTTATGCTTCTTTTTGCTGCTTCCACTGAAGCTTGTTTGCCTAAGATTTTAGAAATGGCAATTAAGGTTTAGGGGAAGTAGCAACGAGACGCTCTGAAAGGCTACATTCATGTTCATGTGCCCATGTTGTATTACTAGTATTAGCTCCCCAAGTCTGCCGATTTCTAATGATTCGGCTCGCTCCCAGAGTGTTGTTGTATTAGTAATGGTATTAATCGGCCAATCACCATGGTTCAGCTAGTTCTAAGCTGTATGTTTATCATTATTCTAGACCCTGAGTTTAGTGATTTATACTTTTGCAAGAAGAAAATACATTACATTGTCACTGGCAAGCGAAGACTGCCTTTCATATTTAGCAGCAGCTGTCTATAACTAATAGTTTTGTTCAATACTATTATATCTATTGTCCAGTCTGGAACTCATTTGATCCCTTTTTTGACCCTCCCTTAAGCCAGAATTGTTAGAATCTGAAGTGACAAAAAGAATCAACCTACATTCGCACTGTGTGTTTCGAATTGGAGAACGAAAATATTTGTGTTGGCATAGGTGATGATATGTATGTTGTCGGCTTTATGTAGTGAGATGACGACCACATAGTTGTCGACCTGTTATTGTAAAAGTTTCCAAGGTCTCAGGATTCTAAAGGGTTGAATATGTGGTCGGAGATTGATGATGCAATCAATCGATTGACAAACAGAGAAAAACTAAACATAAATGGGAGAAAAATGAGACAAAAAAAGTGGGAATGAATAATTGGATTGAATGCCTTTTTCAACTTAATTATCCAAGCATGAAATTCATGAGAGTGTACGAAGCCAAGCTGCCATGATATTTTTTTTATTTTTTTTTTTATAACGTGGAGAACTCCACTAGAAATGAGTAAATTCGTCGCCTACTGTGATAACCTGCAAATTACAGTAGGAGGTAAAGTACTTTAAGTAAACTCAGGTGATAAGTTCAGGTGTGAAATCGGGGGTTTCAAGCTGCCATGATTTAATTGAGACTTTTCGTTACATTTTTTCCTCCAGACTTTTAAATGAAATAACAAACAATACGGAGTAACAATGAATAAATAACAAGCCCCACTTCTCTCAGTTTACAATCCCAACTCTGGAATATTCCTGAAGTCTATGTTACTCAGAGTTCGTTTTCACCAATATTCACCCTATTTATTGTGATCCTGATTTGATCCTTTTCCAATGGCCTTTATCTCATACAGAAAAGTATTTTCTTTTTTTTTGTAATTTTTATTTTAATCACTAAAGTGGTGTGCATCTGTTCTCGACACAATTTACACATATGACTCATTTCTGTTAATTATTAGCAATTTTTGCCCTTTTTTTAAGTATAGAAAATAGAAATCATGATGTAGTTCTAAATACTCGGGGGTGCATATCAAATTTTAACTAATTTTTGTTCAACTTGGATGGTCATGCGTAAATTTTTACTTTTTTTTTATGCAACACGTAAACCTTGTGAAAAAAAATAAAAATGAAAAAAATGAATGAAGCTATTTTTGAGACTAAATAAACACACAAACTAAGAGTGAGTAAGAAAGCATTCATAGCAGTTAGGTTTTGTTGGATCTCACAGAAGCTCAGCTACAGTGTAAAAATACCCAAATCCCACCTGCCTGCATTATCCGTAACGTGGGAATTTGATTTGATCTTATTTTATCTTCTGTTCTTACACGATTATGAAACTATCATCTCAATCATGGGAGTTACACGTGATTGGCCATCTGCTATTCTGCCATGATCAATTTAATTTTCCGAAATTAATGATTTTATTATTATTATTTTTATTTTTTTTTGGTGAAATTGTGTGGTAGAGAATACGTGCGTCTATCATTTTCGATATTTTATTTATTTAATTAACTGAAAGTAGTATGCTGCGTAGGTTTGTATAATTTTTACTTTTTTTTTTGTCATAATAATAAGATTAAAAAATAAAAAATGATAAGGAGCGAGTTGCTGTCGTTATGGGTAGGAACATCCCCAAGGGACAAAGCCACGACGGAAGAAGAATTGCATCCACTCGAATTAATGAGTTTCTCACTACATCAATATCTCACCAGTCACCACCTTTCTAGTTTATGAACACGATTTCCGCAATTCAGACAGTAAAATTTGTCCTTCCGTCCTACTTTAATAATCTAAGTAAGTACACTACTTGCCCGGCTGGATTCGGTTTCTCGAGGAGCCCTTAGTTGGGTAAGCCATGATATATACTCGGGATTTCATATCCCCGACGTGTTGTGGTTCCTACTTAGTAATCCCTCCGTCCCAAAAATATTGTCTATTTTAGATTTTCAGTTTTATGTCCCGTCTGATAAAACTTAATTTAGGTCTGAAGTCTGAAATCTGAAGACTGAATCATAAGTACTGAATTGATTAAGTTTGTCTTGTTTGATAAAAATCAAAATCTGAAGACTGAATAAAATGCCTGAAATATAAAATCTTAACACTGAAATTAAAGTATCTCAACTTATAATAATATCTTAAAAAATAATTGATATATATATATATATGTGAAACTATGATTATAAAGATAATATTATTATTATAAAATTATGTAATAAAAATATTTAAATTTTATTATGTAATTATTTTTTCAGTTAATAATAATATTACATCTTTATCATTGTCAAATTATATCACATCTTTATGATAAATATATATTTATAATGGACTTTATTTGTATTTTATTTTTATATTAAAGTAAATATTTTAAATAAAAATAATAAATAAATTTCAATTTATAACTAAACACCAAGATTAATAAAAATATTTCATGATAAAACATCAAAAGTATAAACATAAAAGTAAATAAATAGAAAAAAAAAATCATCTCAGGAATTCAGTTCAGACATAAGTGATAGGCTTATCACTTATTTTTAGACCCACATTTGTACTAGCATTTCAGACTCACTTAATTTATTAAGACATCCTAATTTGAGTTATCAAACGCACTTAAAATTTAAGTCCTTAATTAGTTAAGTTCTTAATCAATTAAGTTTAAATGCTGAATTAGTTTATCAAACAGAGCCTTAGTTCAAATTGTACTAAAAATGAAAATTCAAACTGGACAATAATTATAGGACGGAGGAAGTAGCTTATATGCAATTCCCTGTTTATAAAAAAAATAAATAAATTAATAAAATCTAAGCAAGTAAGATGGAGAATTTTTATATTTAATGTCAGTGATGCAAGCAACAATACAACTTTTGAGAACTAAAATTTGGTTTAGTAAACTCAAGTCATAATCAATTTTGTAGACTTAAGTATGTTTAACCCATAGAGTTAGTAGTTGAGACCTCCGAAAAGCCATAGAATTACGCGATCTTGCAAGGAAGATTACATGTACTTGATCGTATATAGAATCATATTAATTAATCTTATAAGTGACATCAAATATAGGTTTGTAAGTGAAAGCAACGCATTTTTATCAATTATTTCCTAAAAAAGTAACTGGAATATTTGTATTTCTTTCAAGTGTTGGTTAATAGTAAGTTGATAAAATTACTCTCTTTTATCAAATTAGCCATTTGAACTATATATATACTAGTGATGTCTGGTCGCGCAATGCGCGACCCTGGCCTAGTCTATCTGTAGATTTTAGAAATGTTTATATTTGAAAAAAATAAAATTTTGTATTTGGAGCGATATATTTTAGAAATGTTTGAAAGATTTAGAAATATTTTATAAGTGTGATCATAGAAATATTTGTATTTCGCAAAAAAAAAAAAATTATATTTCGCCATGTATGTTTTAAAAATATTTTATAAGTGTTATTTATTAAATATAAATAGCCTTAATCGAATATATGTGTTGAAGTAAATGTTAGATAAAATATAAAAGCATCCTAATAAATTTAAATATTAATAAGATGATTTATTGATGTTCTCCATTGGTCGTGTCAAATCAATACTTAGTTTTGGAGATTTTTCATAGTTTTGTAATAAATTTCATCCGAAGGGTATACGCTTAAAACAAAATTGACACTTTGTAACAAAAAACCTAATTGATCAATTCAATTTAAAAAACCACTCTAGTTGAATGAAACATAAAGAAAAAATTAAAAAAAAAAATGTGTCACGTAAAGTGCAAAGGGAGATTTAGTAATTTAGTTATGGTTAGACAAAAGGGCAATTTAGTATTTTTTATATGCCACGTGGGCAATCATATGAGGTGTTTGAAAGGGAGGTTTTTGTTTCTAATATAGTAGGATATATATATGTGTGTGTGTGTGTGTGTGTGTGTGTGACCGGAGAGAGTTTTTAACATTAATTTTTATCAAGCAAAAATGGTGGTGGGGAAAAAAAGCAAACTCCATCATAAACAGAACCTCGATAAGTAATAAATCATTGAGGTGGATTTCACATAACATCGTTGGAAGCCTCAGATAGTCAAGATATCCTTTTCCATCAATTAATCATTGATGGAGACCGTCGCGCGTAATTAACTTTTTATAAGGACTCTTCCTGAGCCACAAATTATATTCTGCGATGAATTTATTCATGTTGTTGTATGACTTCGGCTAACTTAGAATACCAAGGAAAAAAATTAATCATGAGAGCAGAGATACATCTTAAAATGAATGACCTGAAAAGTGTGAGTTAATTTTATGAAACCGGAAGGGTTAATTACGTAATCTTGAATATTGTCATTTCACCTTACTAGTATTGACGTACCAACGAGAACAACATGCAATCTTATGATGATGTGAGATCCACACACATGCCCAAAAAAAATATAACAAAAATAAATGATGCTTGTAGCAGTGTTGACTTAGTTTGTTGTAGTTTTAATTGATTACAAATGAATACTACGTAGTATTTGAGAGAACACAACGAATGTAAAAATACTTTTTGATCAATTAACACACGTACTAGGTGAAATTTAAGACAAATCAAAATATTTTATACCTAGAGCCGTCATTTAGTCATGTTGAGAGCTGGAAGGCCATTGGATCGATCCGGGGGGATAACCATCATGACACCCCAATTGCGGGGACTGCCATTCATCGATTCATGTTAATGTGCTTACTATTTTGCTCACCCAAAATATCTCCAAACCAAAATGGGATTGGTATGTATATTAATGGGAGTAATAATTTATCCGGTTACTTCTATAAAGTTTCAATCTCATAAGTTATACTCCCCGTCTCATAATTGTCCAATTTGGGTTTTCATTTCTAGTTCAAATTATACTAAAAGTGAAATTTCAAACTGAACAATAATTTTGGGACAGAGGGAGTAACAAAGTTGTGATTACGTACATATCGCTCTTTCCAACTCACCATGTTATCAATCATATTTTTGTGGGATTTTTTTTTTCTCCATACATTTTATAATTTGTAGGTTTTGGAATGATTCTCTTTATTAGCTTACTGTGTGTCGTGATCGTTTCTATTTTAATAGTACTA